CGGGCGGTGCGGGGCGGGGCGAGGCTGTTGCGATGCTGATCACGCTCGCCGAACCATGCGCGGCTCGACGCGGCTCGGGGCTTCCTTTGTATGCAGCTGGGCGGCAATAAACGGCCTGAGCGGAATGCTGAGCTGCCCCCTCCGCCCGGGCGCCCGCCCGCCCCACTGCCAACCTCCGCGCCGGCTATGTAAATCTCCTCAATTCAGCCATCCATTCGGCCGACATCTATCTGCTCACGGCCCGGGCCCGGCCCGGCCCGCCGCGGCTCAAAGTGACCTGCCGAGCGCCTCATGGGCGCGGCGGGGCGGGGCGGGGCGGGGCGGAGGCCCCAGCTGGCGACGACGACGTCCCATCTGCTAGCACCTCACCTCTCCTCATACCAATCCGCCCTTTGCTTCTCGCACCAAGAATTTTTCATCCCCCCGCCGCCGCTGCCTGCCTGCTTCCATTCCTCGCAGGCCTGCAGGCGAGCCTGCTCGTCGTGTCGGAGGAATGGATGTCCTACGTGCCGTGCCGGCGGCTGGAGCCGGCCGGGGTCCCCTCCCCCCGGCAGAGGGGTCCCTCCCTCCAGCCGAGTCCCCCGACTCCTGGACGCCCAGCCACGGGCGGGATCACGTCGCGCCACACGGGACCCCGTGCGAGGCTACAAGATAAATCTCACGCCGGGGAGGCCTGTACAAGCCCTGTCGAGACAAAGACTCCCCAGTAGGTGATAACCCCCCCCCCCCTCCCACCCCACCACCAGCGGCGGGAGATAGGCTGTAATCACTCCATCATCCCGGCGGGCGCCTTGCTCGCTCGCTACCCCTCCCGGGGCCCACAACCCCCTCCTCACAACTCAATTATGTCACGCGGGGGCGTGCTAACCCCCCTCTCAACCCCCCTCCCCTGGCGGGCGGCACATTCTTGTTAAAAAGTGTCGCCCGCCGGCGCGCTGCGTGACTGCATTAACATTGCCGTGTGAACCCAGAATTAATTCACCCCGCGGACGACGACGTGTGCGTGCTCGATAAGAATACGACCTCCTCCTCCTCCTTCGCGAAGGAAGGCGGCGCCGCCCTCCTCCTTCTCCTCGCCCTCCTCGTCCCCCCTCCTCCTACACCCGTGTCGTGACGACGCGCAGCACCGACCACGACTAAATATTCATCCAACTGCTCTTCCAAAAATACAGAGAAATTCCACGAAAAAAAAATTACACATCCATCCCCTCACAGGAGCAACAAGGGGCGTGTCCATCATCGACCCGGTCGAAATCAACAAGCCACGTCAGTGACAGGATCGGGCGGCGGGCTGCCCGCCCATGGCCCGCCACGCATCGACCAGCTGGCGCCAGCCACACGTGGCGCCTCCCCACTGGGCGGGCGGCACCGTCAAAACTACCGGCTGATGATGCAAAATGGATCAGCGCCCTCAAAACTTAAACCTAATCTCCGGCCACTTTCGTCTCTCCGAATGCGAGCGCACCCTTCCATCGCAAGAACAGGTTCGTGGACGTGGACAGACCCTTGTGGTCTTGTGGCATGAAAACTTCCGAACGTCTTAACCCTTTTTGATCGTGAACTGCACTAGTGTCAAAGTTACCCGTTTCGATAAATATTCCAGCTTTTGAAAAGTTTTCCGATTGCCGCTTTTAGTTAGCAAAGATTGTATTGTTTTAATATTCTTTTCAGTGTAAGAAAACGACATGGAGCCTAAAGGAATCCGTTTCTGGAATCCAAAGTTAGCTTTATAACACTGCGAAGCGGCGTCGCCTGAAAGGACACACATTTATATTTTTAAAGACCTCTCCGATGAAATGCAGCGGCGGCACGCCACGGCGGCTCCGCTGCACGCGACGCGGCGCGGCCGGCCGCCAATCCTGGGCGGCCACGTGGCCGCCCGGACACGGCACCACGTCGCCGGAGTGAGGTCAGGACCGGGGGACATTGAATAAATAAAAAAAAAAAAAAGGAGGAAAAGTCAAGTAGCGTGCGTGGTGATGGCGAACAGTATGATGGCGGGTGAGCGGAGAGGTCATCTATTAAATCAAAGAGGATGTCACAAAGCTTGGAAACGGAAAAAATGAAAGTGTCCTGGTACGGGATAAAAAAAAAGAGTCCTTCCGGTGCACGCGACAATGTCATTGTGAAACGGAACACTGATGGGCAATGTGCGATTTTTTCGCAATACATGTCCAATTTATTGGAAATATGAAGATTACAAAAATGTAAAGCATATATCCTTTATTTAGTCATAAAGTACCAATGAATTACTGTCACATGAAAGGAAAATATTGTGCCATGTCCTTCCAAAACCCAAAACATGTTTCGTTTATAAAAGGCATTGGGGGGCTGCTAACGTGCAGAGCGCCGTGGGACTATCATGATGACGGCTTCACGCAAACAACACATTTTATGAGGCGATTCAATAAACGATCACGACAGGCATGCTACTCGCGGTAGCGGTCCCCCCCCCCCCACAAATTTTTCACATCACTGAATACTTACCAAAAACCCCGAAACGCACGGAAAAAAATGAAAAAAAAAAGGAAGGGAAAGGAGGTAACCAACCACAGAACATACCATAACTCAGCAACTTTCAAAGCAAAACCAGATACTATTTACAACATACGCAAGCGGTTTAGTTATTCAATTATTATTTAGAAGTATGTGCATGTGCATATTATGCTATTTCGGGGTAGTAATAATAAGTCAATTTGACTAAATGGGAACTGACATTATATTCCTTTTATGAACGTTCCGACATCAAAGCGTAAATTCCCGCGGCTCCCCTGACAGTATTTGAGCCCCGCCCCTCGCTCTCCGTGTCCACTGTGTCATTACTGCAGCGACCACGCTAACGTCCGGCCCATCAATGATGGGGGCGCGTATCGTGCCGCACGGAAAGGAAGAAACATAGAGGAAAAACGTGCAAAACAAACTCACCCGGTCATCCTCGCCCTCACTATCACACTGCAACAGAAAAGAGAAAAAAACGTAGGTCAGTACAGGGCGCGCTCACCAAAGGCTAACTGAAGAAGTAAAAAAAGCTCGCAACGCAAGAATAAAAAGCATAATATTCTTTTATTAAATGGTGACTGCACTGGAAATCCAAGTGTACAAACGTCAATCACCTCCAGGTGAGTAAAAAAAAATCATACCCCAAGTGTGTGAATAGTCGTTAGCATATGTGCAGGTGTGCACAAATTCTGTCGCAGGGGTGTGTGAATTTTTTCACCCTCCTGCAGGTGTGCGACATTTGTACACTTGGATTTCCAGTTTGCTACACATACAAAATAGATACCACAACAAAGAAGTGCCACTCATTAGGAGCTAAATACGAAGCAGGCAGGCGTGAAGTTAGCGTAAGGCAGACAAGCAAGCAGACAGCAGGCAGACAGACACAGGCAGGCCAGGTAGGAGGTGCAGACAAGGAGGAGCTGGGCGTTGCATGTGCCGCGATTGTTCGCAGGCCGGAGCTATTCGCGACACTGCCGCCGCCGCGCCGCCGCCGCCCCGGCTATTAGGGGCCATAACGATGCTTTCCATAACCAGTCCGACCGCACCAGATACACGACGGCGCTACAAGGAGTGCAACAGCGACACGCCATTGTACGCACGCGAATGCCCGCACGCCCGCGGTGGTGCACTGCACGGTGCACGCCGCCCAACACAATAAATGATTATTAAATATTCACGAACCACGCAGCAGCGCTGAGAAAGCAGCTGTGCGCGAGTAGCGTTTGCGTGGGAGAGGGGAGGCAACTTGGCACCCGGTGTACCACACAACGCCCTTCTCGCGCCGAACACAACCAGTCTTTGTCAACCGCGTAATACATGATTATGACTTTGGCTTCTCATTCCGTCTTTTACTATTTCATGGTTGTTTGTTTTTGTTCTGTTTTTTTTTTTTTCCGTTTGGATGGAAGTGTCCGATGGGCAGCAGGCACCGGCGGGCGCGGGCACTTAGCACCGTCATCCAGCGGAGGAGTGGGTCCTCTTGTGCCGTGGGAGGGGAGAGGAGAAATAAAATTGAAGGTGCAAGTGAACAATAGAAAAAGAGAGGAACTCCATTTCCATCCACAGAGCAGCTCCACGCATCTATCCATGCAAGCTATCGCCGGCGGCAGGCGCCCTGGAGGTAGGCAGACCCGTCGCACACGCAGGGCCGACGGGGCTGCCTACCCCGCACGGCGCTCGCCGCTGGCGGGGGCACCCGCAGAGCAGCCGGGCAGCGGGGCGGGGCGGGCGGGTGGGCTACCAAGATTCTGTCTCTCTCCCTCTTCGCCCCCCTCTCCCCACCAACAAATTACCAGCAGCGTTCCGAATCACGGCCGACTTCCCGTCTCACTGCTCCGCTCAATTAATATTAAGTTAACACACACCTTCATTCATCATTCCGTCCTCTCCGTGGGAGGAGAGACGTGAGCGACGAAGGAACAATCAGAGTAAAAGGTTTTCACACAGTGTTCTTCTCCTCCTTCCCCCTTTCCAAAACAACCTCACCAAAAAAAAATAATACAGACTCGCCCCATCTAAACACGACGACTCATTTTCATTTCTTTCATTTTTCTCACTCTCTTATTTCCCTCTCTCGGCCGCGTCCCCTCCCCGCGTGACTAATTGCTTTGAGATTTATCAGAGCTGGCAAAGGTGCGGCGGAGCACCCTTTAATTATGTATAGGCGTCGTCGCGGGCGTTTTATTTCCCACCGTCCCTCTCCTCCTACTCCTCCCCTCGCTCGCTCACTCACCCCCTTGATCGCTTCTCTTGCTCACTCTCTTGCTCGCTCGCTCACTGTCGCGCTCCATCTTTCATGTGCTCCGGGGGCGCAGGTCGCGACAGGGACGACTGTCCTCTCACCTCCCCCGCCCGTCCTCGAGAGTGATAATTATCGTCTCAAAGCCGCTTAGAGCCGGCGAGATTCCCCTTTTCCTCGCGAGAGAAAGACATCGCCGCCGCCGCTGCTGGTCTGCTAGTGCTCTTCCTACACAGAGAGGAATGCGCATTTGAGCCACCAGCAGCAGTCTCATCATCTCCCTGGCGAAAAATAAAGAAAAGAGATCTCTGTAAGCCCCCACCTTTTTCACTTTACCGACGCAATCTCTCTCACTCGCTCGCCTTGCTGCTGAAGACCTTCCCCCTCCCCTTCCACTTCCAGTCCGTACCGCCGCCCCGCGGGGGCTAAACGGAAATAAAGCCCTCCAGAGATGGATAACTTCCGCGTGGCGCTCCCGGGGTCCCGCTCAGTCCGCCTCGCCACCGTAAATCGTAAAGTCGCAGCAGAGAGTAATAACAACTTGATACGGCGGGGGCGGCGGGGCCGGGGGCGGCG